TAGGTCTGTAGGTCTATGCCTATATATTTTTTCCTATTTAATTAAAAATAAAAATTATTATAATTTAACTGTTTAATGATTATATATCAATCTAAATCATTAAAGGCCATCTTGATTTATATATATATATATAGGCCTATATATACACTGTATATATTATATATATAAAGTATATATGTATGTGGTAAGTATATTTCTCATACATATAGTACAAAGGCTAGGCTTATCTGTACCTGATACGGTATGGTATGTATCTCTCAATTCGTTTATTTTGTTGATTTATATGAATACGTAGCTTTAACTAGGCCTATTGAACGATGATGAATTGTGAATTGAGAGTTTATTTGTCTATTTTGTTTGTTTATTTAAATTTCACACACAAAAATTGCAAAAATAATATATCATATCGCAGACATAGAAATAATGTCAATGTTACATTTGGCAGCAAACAATAGGTGAGATTTTCTAAGCTAGTAATTAACAAAATATCGCATTCTTTATTGTTTCTAGACCGTAAACATATGAAAATGAAAATATAGCCTCACAAATTTGTATTCAGGAAATAACGAAGACATTTATATTTCCGAAATGAGAAAACAACGTCAATAGGATCGTTTGTAAATTAACGAATATTATATTATATATACAAGGCGATGGTTTTATTTTAATCTTTATTCCTTATCCTTATCTTTAAGGACTAGCTATATATATAGGCCTATATATATGTATATATACACATATATATAAATATATATTATTTACATAATATGACTTTATAGGCCTATATATACAGTAATGAAAATACAATAAAAAGGCATATATGTATAGGCCTATGGGTCATATATATATATATATATATATATATATATATATATATATATATACACACACACATTGGGTATATAACTGAGGGTGTCAAATAGACAAAAAAATTGAAAGAACATGTTTGACGGAGTATAGAATATAAATTTATTTTAACGAATATTTCTTGGTCTGAGAACAACCTATATAAGACTATAATATATATATATATATATATATATATATATATATATGTATAATTTTATAGACCAATATACAGTTTAAATAATGTACAGTTAAGTAGACCTGCAAATATTGCTGCTGTATAACAAAAATGTATACAAAATCATGATTGATGTCTCGGTTTTCTCCAAGCCGTTGGAAATAACACCAACTCGAATTGATTATCCTTGTTGTTCATGTTTCTTCTACCACCGTCATCGAGAACTTATTACCATCCAGAGTGCTACTCCCGCTTGTGTCGAGATAATATATGAATATTTATAATATAATTTGAATCATGATTGAACTTGATTGATATATGACACCATGGATGGCAGTAACGTATTGCCAGCGCCGCCTTTAATGATTCATAACAAATAAAATCTTGCAGTCAATGAGTGGAAATTAATAAGAGTGAAAACTACGTACCAATTGAGTAACACATATCATTTTAATATGTATTTACATATATATATTTAATAATTAATACATCCGGGTAAATGAGGACAAATAGGCATAGACCTATTACTGTACCGTATATACTATACAATATACCACTATTATTTTCATGTCATTTATATATTCACAAAGGCATATATATATATATATATATATATATATATATATATATATATATATATATATATATATATATATATATATATATATATATATGCATATATATATGTATGTATGTATATATATGTATATGTATATATATATATATATGCCTTTGTATGTGTGTGTGTGTGTAAGTATGTGTGTGTGTGACCGATTCATTTGTCGACATTTACATTTTCACGCAAACAGACAAAGCTTCCAGAAAAATGATAAGAAGGAGCTGAGCTACAACTCATTAACAACTAGCGCTGTTCCGTACATACAAGGAGAGTGAAATTAATTGCCTCATCTTGAATTCACAACGAAGTCCCAGTGGCCTAGTTGCTTAAAAGTGTCAGTATACAGCATAGTGTACAGCAGGAGATCCAAGTTAAAATTACGGTTGAGGCGATTATTTCACTTCCACTGTCCTCGTCTACACTGTTTACAATTTATGTATTGCAGTTAATTTGAATTTAATTACAGTGCCGACCTGCGCACCCTGTAGAACGAGCCTCACCACATACGAAAAGGTCATAAAGTTTATTACCGTACAACATTATCAAAATGTTAATGCCGCAATTTGCGCAGCGCATGTGTGTTAAAATGCACGAGATGAATCTTCGGGGTTTAATGGTGTTTTAAAAATGTTTATAAGGGCGGATTGTTCAAAATGATAACAATGACGAATCTAATAATAATAATAATAATAATAATAATAATATTAATAAGTGATAAATCTTTTAAATTTGTATATTATTTTTTTTAAAATTATTTTTCGTATTTCACTATTTCAGATAATTGCTTTCTGGTATTTTGTTAATATTGTTTGATTAGGCCTATATTATAATTGGCCGATATTATTTATAATATTGTATGTATGTTAAACTGGTTGAGTGAGGTTAACATACTTTTTTTTAAAGTGAGTTCACGTTTGTGTCCCCGCCCACTCATTCAATCTATTGTATTTGTTTTCTGTATATGTATTCCACCATTGTATTGTACTTTTTTTGCGAATGAAAAATAAGAATAAGAATAGGAATAGGAATATGCAATTATGTAAATACATAAATATGTCAATATAAAGGCCTACATAATATTAAAAAGAATGCCAGATAGTCCATATTATATATATATATATATATATATATATATATATATATATATATAAAATCACAATTTATATCATTATTGATGATGATATTGTGCTCCGCCAGCATCAGGTCAGTAATATATAACTGTAAATTAGTGATAGGATAGGAACAGCAGAAAAGGCCAAGATTATTTGGCGTAAGAAGCAGGTGTTTTCAAGGTTTCTCTTTCGTTATTAAGCCCTCCTATCGTTTGCAAATCTCTCTGTTTTTGTTTAACATATGCAATCACTTTCGTTTTTTCCCATAAACTTTTTCAGTCGTGTAAAATTATACCGTACCAACGATTAAACAATATTGTACTTACCAACTAATTTATTCGTAGAAGTTAATAGAATTGTAACACAAATTAGATCTCTTTACGAATGAAAAAATTTTGATAAGTGTCACTTTTATCAAGAGAATGTTTACCGGGGGAGTAAATCATTCATTTATTTGAGATCACTTTTTACCTACAATGTTAAAACACCTGTGGTTAGCGATATTGAACGAGTTGGTTTTACTGTACACCGTACCTATTCTTTAATTTATTTTGGAAGTTACAAATAATAATATGGTGATAGACCTAATCTGTAAGTTGCATATTCAACAAAGAAAATGAATATTCATATGTGATTTGCATTCCTGATTATACAGTCTTAACTCAGAATGTATGGTAATCCCAGTTGATTAGGATTACTTTACGAGTTTCCTGTCTTATTGTGTATTCGCCTTTACTGTATTTGTCATGTTTGATTGTTTCTGAGATTAATGAACTAAAGTAAAACAATAGAAAAAATTGGACGGCAGTAGTGGAATAAGATACAAGATAACAAAAACTGAAGCAAAAGCGTCAACCTGCTTATGTTCCGTAAGATACCTGTAGGACCTGGGCTTATTTTAATTGACCTACAAACAGTTGCAAATAACAGAACTTACCTGTGACATTTTTCCGAGAAAATTTACAAAAAAACACACCTTTGGCATCTCACATTGTTTTAAAGGTGGGGCTTCAATTTGTATGTTTATTTTTGTTATGGTTGTTTTAAATCGTTCTGAGAGAGGCCTAAGCTAAATAAATAGAACACTATAGCAAACATGGATAGTGCATTGCTATTCAATAAAGTTAGTTCTGATACAATTCTGATAAGAATCAATCTGCAGTCATATTGAATGGGAACCTTAATTGTTCATATTAAATTTTGTTTTAGTCTTACTAAATAATGTAAGTTATAAATCATTATAAATCTCCACGTGCTGTAATTAAGGTAAATAAATGTATAGGCCTATAGTTACAATAATAATCATACAGTATTTTAAAGGCCTTTGATACACTGACTTGTTTGGCATGTTAAAGTAAATGATAAGGTGAAAACGGTCAGCATGATCTAATGGAGAAATTAACTCAAAAATATTTAGGAACAATGTAGAATTATGAAAAACAACTCTTGTTTGCTACACAAAACAAGAATATCTTCACACCAAAATTATATGGAATCAACTTAAAAAATACATAAGGACTCAACTAAAAAGACCATAAATGTGTTAATGGAATACACAATGAAACACATTAAATTGAGTTCCGGTCCACAATACATGGTATTCTAGATTCTTAGATATATAAGGGACACTCCCAAGTTATATTGAATTTATACAGAAATGTTAACGGTCTAATTTTGTTAAAGCTTGTCCTCATTGCATACAACCTACTGATTACTGAGTTATAACGCGGATTATAAGCACGG